CGGTGTGCTGGGGCAACAACGATGCCGGCGAAAGCTCCCCACCCTCCAACTTCACCGCCTAGCTGAAGTATAGAATGCCCTGTATCCCCCACGGCCAGCTTTCAGCATAAAGCTGTTATGCCAAACGGCATGCTTCGCGGCCACTTCTCATTGGGCTTTTATGCTGAATGTCAAGGCATCCTTCACGGCCAGCTCTCAGTAGGCTACAATGCCAAAAGGCATTTGTTTCGGCCATTTATCATTAGGTCTTTATGCTGAATGTCTTTCCGCCAACGTGCATGTACAGCGGACATTTCAGCATCTCAACTCGAGCCGTTGCAAAAGCCGGCACAAAAGAATGGGTGCAGGCTCTTCTCGAGCTTTCGATGTGGCAAGCTCCTCGGTTTCCATTGGTTGAGGATCGGCCTGCGGCTGTATCACTTTCATGGTTCTTTCATTGCAACCCCAACAACTTATAATAACACCCAAAGCCTGCAATGCTGGCGCATTAGAAGCGGAAGGTCCGTCTGGACGGACCTCTCTGGTGCGGAGTCCTCGAAGTTGCATCAGGCAGGAGCGACTTCATCACGGGGCGGTACTACATATCCCTTTAAACCCTACAGCTTCCTAAGAGCCTATAGACTCTAAGCCCTGAGCCCAGCTGAAGTTCTAACCCTAAACCTAGACCCCTAAGCCTAACCCCAAAGTCCCAAAGCACAGTCGCCCAGAGCCCCACATTCCTAAGCTCTAAACACCCAAGCCCAAGCCCGGTAATCCGCAAAGCCATACACCAACCTTGAACACCCACACCCCCAATTCCTAAAACTTGTGAAAATTGTTTGGAGACCGGCCATATCCTAGGAGTTTAGCGTTTTGAAGGCTTAGGATTAATTAGTTTCAGGGTCCGTTGTTTCAGGCTCGGCAATCTGTTCAGAGCTTTTGGCTTCTGAGGGTTTGGGGTTATCGGGTGCATGTGGGTCCTACATATTACATATGCCTTATGCAGTGCGATATGAGGACGTCTAGATCATTACCTAGACCCCCTCCTGACTAGCCCCTGAATGCCGCTTAGTGAGGAATAAATATATGACACAGAGGGTCCATATACGCTACATGGTCCCAAAAGGCCATCCGCGTTCTGGCCCTTACTCCATAATGGTAGTATATCTGGACCCTCTTGGTGAGAGAGCGTTAGGAACGAAGAGGGGCACAAGTGTCAGTGGCAGGATGCGACCTTAAGCCTAAGCGGGTGCGTGGGGGATTAGACTAGAGGGACGACGAATACGAAGAGCCAGGGGAACCACAGGAGTCGCAGCGCAGGATCAAAACAAGCCAGCATCCACCGACCTTACCGTCACCCCCACCAAGACCACCAAGAGCATTGCCGAGATCACCACGAAGACCACCTGGACCACCAAGACCAGCGAGACCACCACCGCCAGCAGCAGCAGCAGCAGCAGCAGCAGCACAGCAGCAGCAGCGGCAGCACCACCACCACCACCACCACCACCACCACCACCACCACCACCACCACCAGACATCTTGATGAACCCCCGCGGAGCAATCTAGTAAGAAATGCTTTTCGTTTGCAGACGAGGTTTTTTTCGGATGCCGTGCATGCCGACGAAGCCACCAAGGCGTGGCAGGGCACATCTTACACTGGATCCGTGGTTCCTTTTGGGGTATACTTACAAGTCAGAGTTGTTCCTGTTGTTGGGAACTACTTTCTCTTCGTATGCGGGTACTTAGGACCGTCTGGGTTGTCTTCATGCATCTACAGTCACAGGCTGAAAAGTCAATCAGCATGCATCCAGATGCCACTTGACCAAGCCGAAGGCTCGACTCTAGCGCTCGACTGTGCCTGACCGCCCCTCTCCCTCCCCACGTGTGCATCATGCAGGGCCGCAACTTTACGCGCACAGCGCTGACGTGCTGTGTGGCAACCCTCACCTTGGTGACCTTTGTGGTGGGTGCTTCGACCGGGAAGCACCTCGAGAATGCAAGCTGCACTTCCGACGACCAGGCGCTCTTGCAAGCAAAAGCGCTTGTAAACGGAGGAGTTGCTACGTGCCCTGCGGATCCCAGTGCTGACACAGAGCCTCCTGAGATCATCCTAGGCGATGTTGGAGTCGGAGCTCGGCCAGCCCCTGGAGAATGCACAGCCGTTCGGACTTATGATGTAATCGAGGTACGCGACAACTGTCCAGGCGATGTCACATGGTCCTGCGTGCCACCATCTGGCTCTTCGTTCCCTATCGGTGACACCACAGTTACCTGCACGGCGACCGATGTTGCTGGTAACACTGCATCAGAATCCCTTCGTGTTTGGGTGCAGGACCTGAATCCGGTGCCTCCAGTCTTCGATGTGGCACAGACCCAGGACAGTGCGGAGCCGTTGTGAATTTCACTGTGCCCACCGCAACAGACGACTGTCCAGGAGTGCAGGTATCCTGTTCGCCAGAATCGGGCTCAACGTTTTCGGTCGGTACCACCACGGTGACGTGCACCGCCACCGATGCTGGTGGGAGCACTGCCTCGGCAGAATTTGACGTTAACGTCCGTGACCTCTGGGCTCCCAACATCACGCTGGGCGATGTTATGAGGGAAACAGCCACATCCCCTGGACTTTGCGAAGGCATTGTGGTTTACGACGTATCCGCAATCGACAACTGTCCAGGCGATGTCACATTGTCCTGCGTGCCAGCGAATGGCTCTTTGGTCCCAGTCGGTGACAACAGAGTTGACTGCACGGCGACCGATGTTGCTGGACTGGCTCAATCGGGGACAGGCTTCTGGGTTACAGTGAGGGACCACGAGAATCCAGTCTTCGATCCGGTCCCGGATGATGTGACAGTGACAAACGACCCAGGACAGTGCGGAGCCGCTGTGGATTATGTGGCCAATGCAGCCGACAACTGTCCAGGAGTTCAGGTAGTTTTTTCGCAAGAATCCGGCACCACGTTCTCGGTCGGTACCACCACAGTGACATGCAACGCCACGGATGCTTCTGGCAACAAGGCCTCGTCGGAATCTTTCGTCGTTCCTCGGCCGTTCTCGACAAGCATTTCCAATGTACCAGTGGCTGTAGCAGTGTAGCATCTGTTTCATGCATGCATGCAAGGACTATATGTAGGTATCCATGTATGTAAGCAGCCATGTGAGCAGGACTTTTCTGTTCAAGCTATTCTCAAACCGTAACTCTAAACCTTGGGTTCTAAACCCCAAACCCTGACCCTAAACCCTGGACTCTAAACCCTAAACCCTAAGCCCAAAACCTTCGAAAAGAGCCCAGGTCCAGGTCAATGACCTCGAGGATCCAAGTATCGGCACGCTTCCCAACATCGACGTGCCTGGGTTCTTGCAAAGGAATGGGTTTGGGGTTTTTAGAAGGGTTCCTTTACGGGGGTCTTGTATGGTTTCTGTAAGGGTTCGTTAAGAGTTTAGAGTATCAGGGTCCATGCAAAGGAAAGGAGCTCTTTTAAAGGGTACCATAGAGTTGTATGATAGGGGCCCCGTTTATAGGTTTCTGTAGGGGTTGAAAATAGGGTCCCTTTAAGGGGTTCCTTAAGGGTTCTGTTTCAGCTACCATCGACTTCGGCCCTTTTTAAGGAGGGTTTAAAGTCAAGTGCTATAGGGGCCTTAATAACTGGAATAGGGTTCCTTTAAAGGGGTCGATAAGGGTACTATAAGAGTTCTATAATATGTGGGGCCTTAGTAGTTAGAATAGGGTTTTGGGGCGCATAAGGAACCCCCAAAATAGAATTGGTAATTATTTAGGCCCCGAAAGGATCTAAGTTTCATTTACCGTAGCGAGGACAACCCTGCTGTTTACTTTAGATCCCCATTATGGCGTAATCCTGTATTCATCTCTACTGCCACTTTTGAGGGCTCTTGCTCCTGCTCCTGCTGCGTCTCTTTCTTTCGCTCCTGCGCTTGCTCTTGCTGTTGCACCTGGTCTTCCTCCTGCTTTTGCTCTTACTCTTGCTTGTGCTATTACTCCAGCTCTTGCTCTCTCGGTCCTGCTCTTGCTCCGGACCCCCCTATGCAAATTAGGTTTTAAAAGGCAGGAGTGATTTCGGGAGGATCCGCGCCAATGTGTTTTTACTATGAAGGGGGTGAATGCCATAATGCCCTTAGTCTTAGGGTCATTACGGTAATGTAGGGTTTATTTCGTCAGCCGTCTCATTTAGCAAGATCCCAGGTGCAGTCCTGCAGCCCGACTGCCGTCACGTTCGCGCCTACAGCGGATGACAACTGCCCAGGTGTTTCAACGTCTTGCAGCCCCTAAAACCTGATCCCTCAGACCCCTAAGCCTGCAGACCCGTAAACCCCTAAGCCTCTAGACCCTAAACACTAAACCCCAAACAGGTGTTTCAACTTCTTGCAGTCCTTCATCCGGGTCCCTGTTCGCTGTCGGCGAGACAGCAGCTAGGTAGGCCTTTAGGGCATTTTGCATCTTCATTGTTGGGCCGAAGAGGATTCTGCTTTACGAAACTGATTCACTGACTCCTAAACCCTGAACCCTAAGCCGTAAACAATGGGCCCACCTAGGAAGTGACGTGCAATGCAACTGATGTGGCGGGAAGCACCAGTCAGAAGAGCTTTGCAGTACCTTGGGACTGAAAAGTAGGAGCCCTATATATCCTTGCAGTTTAGGGTTTAGGGCTTATGCTATGAACTCCTGTTATGATAATCCCTAAACCCTAAACTATTAAACCTCAAGCTCTTACAGGTTCCATTTCGTGCCTCAGGTCTCCGTCCAGTGCGACAACGGCATGAGCGAGCCGACCGACAATGCGGGAGATGGCAGCTACTACCACAAGCGCGTTCCTCGCATCCCGAGGTTGCTGGGTTTTGACAAGGATTTTGATTCAAGTTACCATAATGGGACCTTCAGTAAAGAATATGGTTATGACAAATCGAATGAAGTTCCTGAACAATAGCCGAGGTGGTTTCACCACAAGTACCACGGCCGCACAAACCGTGGTCGCCACGTCAGGAAGGGGTTTGACACCAGAACATACGGAGCACAGTGAGTGAGGGCCCAAGGCGCACAGGCATTTGGCCGCGGCGCAACATGCGCGTTTTGGGGGCATAGAGCTTCCCCACAGGTTCAGCTCATCTGCTTTCGCCGGCCAGGAACACAATGCTAGGAACTGAAAGGCGGAACCCGAGAAATCCCACAGAAATCAGTCGTTCTTGCTTCTCCTACATAGCCATGTATGCTACAGTGACTGGCCACGGCCCGCAATGCAGCATTTTAACTTTCATTGATTATTGCGGCGTGTGATTTGCACGTAGCTCCGTCCGTTCACGTAGCAGCCATGCGGATGCTCTAAACTCGGATACTCTTGAAATTGAAATCTAAAACCGTAACGTCGTAAAGTCTACACCCTAAATCCTACATGTTTACGGTTTAGGGTCATAGGAGCGGTGAATCAAGGATTGATCCGATTAGTTTAGGGCAACCAGCTTTGGTGGTGGACGCGATTGGCCGAGATAGCCGCGAGTGAGAAGTCAGCAGAAAACAGCATGGTGCTATCTGCCAGTGACACATCCCTGAGCGCAAAATCTTTGACCTGGAATTCTATGTACTTACAATGACACTTCGTTACCCTATAAACCCTATAAGCCCTACAACAAAACGCTGAACCAAAACTCACCCTATTGTATAGAGGCCTGAATAATTACCTACACTGCTTTGGGGGTTCATTATTATAGTATAAGGCATAAGGGGCTCCAGAACCTTATTCTAATCATTAAGGCCCTTATATTAAGACCGAAACTCCCAGACCCTCAACCTTCAACCCGACATTCTAGGACCTTGAACCTCAAACCCGAGACTCAAAGGCCCGAAATTATGATCTAATGTAGGGGCTTAAATTTTTGCCTATGCTGTTGCGGGGTTTCCTTATCAAAATTGTTATAGTATATTGGGCGCCAAAACCCTAATTATTAAGGCCCCTGTATTATCGTTTTCATGCTACACTCAACGGGGCCTGCAAACATAAACCCTAAGCCCTTGCTCTCCTTGTGCTTGAAGGCCGGGCGCTGCAACATCACCTCCAGACGCTGGCAGGACCAGGTGAGCTCAGGTGGTGGCTGGTGATGGTAGGAGGAGTAGTAGTAGTAGTAGCAAGCAGCAGCAGAGGCAGCAGCAGTAGTTGGCTTAGGCGCGGGGTTTTGTGGTCCAGGGTTGTCGTCGTCGGCGTCGGAATGGTAGTCGCAATCGTCAGCTTTAGTGGTTGCGCACAGCTGGTGCGTTTTTCGTGTGTTTCGCCCTTTGCCCACGACGTTAAGCTGCATGGTTTCGCGGTTTCGGGCTCCTGTCCAGATCTTTTCCGGTGTCCTGTAATGGGTCCTTGCGGGGTTCCATTAAAGGGATCTATAAGGCAATAGCTTTAGGGTGCAAGTGGCAAACTTAGGGTGATTGGTGCAATCACAGCGAAGGTTATAGGAGGGTATACTCTGCACGTGGCTCTTGGACAAGACTTGACCCTTGAAAGTAGGGGTAATGCAGCCTCATACGATGAATTCCTGTCTCATGGTAACCCTAAACCATAAGCCCTAAACCCAAATCCCTTGTAGGGTGCATGTCCTGTTTAAGTTTTGACGGCTTTCCGCCATTGCCGACGAAGCTTTTTCGGCCTTTGCCCAGCTTCGGCCATGAAACTGGAATCATTCGGCCATCATTAGGTTTTCAAAGGTTTCCTAAGCTGACTTGATCAGGGTTTAGGGTGTAGGCTTTCGAAGTAAAGGGAACTCCAGAAAGTTGGAATATGGTTTCATGGTAGGATCCCGTATAATTTACCTTAAAGGGGCTACGATAATCATATTCCAACTTTCTGGCTTTTACTGTACTCCTCATCCGGTGTAAAGCTTCTTACAGTCCGGACCCCTTTGACCGACGTCCCCGCCACCGTCATTGCCAAGACCGCCAACACCACCAAGACTCCTAAACCCTAAACCCTAAACCCTAAAACACCACCCTCAGACATCTTGATGAACGCCCCCGGAACAGCATCTTAGATGGTTTCCTTCTTTGCACACGAGGTGTTTTTTCTCTCGGATGCTGTGGCGAAGCCGCCGAAGCAAGGCAATGCCAGGGCAAATCTCCCACAGGATCCGTGCCTGAAGGGTTCCTGTAAGGCGTTCCGGGGTTCTTTTATGGGGTTCCTTCAAGGGTTCTAGAATGATCGCTTCTTTTTTGTTTCTGTTTTAGGGAGCCTACTGTCTGCGGGTATGCAGGTACTTAGAACCCTCTAGGTCATCTACAGTCACAGTTTCGGCAAGGGCTGGAGGAGCCTCAACCGCTTCAAGATGCCACTTGACCAAGCCGAAGGGTCGACTCTAGCGCTCAACCGTACCCCAAACCCTGAAGCCCTAAATCCCTAAACCCTCAAACCCTCAAACCCTAAAACCCTAAAGCCCTAACCCCTAAGTCCCTAAACCTTAACCCCCCTGCTCCTCACGTGTTGCATCATGCAGGCCCGCAATGTTACGCGCAGAGCTCTGATCTGCACTGTGGCGACTTCGGTCTTGGTGAGCGCTTCGATCGGCAAGCACCTCGAGCGTGCCAAAGGGTCTAAAGTACCTGTTTAGGGTAGAATGTAGGTTCTTTAGGGGTTCCATTAAGGGTTTAGGGTTCCTCGAAGGGTTCCTATAGTAAGTACCTATTTCGGAGAATGTGGGTTTTTACATATTCGGATATTTGGAATTACTTTTATGATGTGGGGAAGTATTCCCCATAAGCAGTACCTGGAGTTTTTGGGGAATGCACTTTCGACGACCGCAGATCTTTGTCCAGCTTTTGTACTTACGGTTCGATTGCGACTAGTTCGATATCTCAATTTTGCAAACTTCCCTAGGGGTCGAAAGGACCCAAAACTTGGTACTTGGGCTTACATTAGTTAGGCAGGTCACTATTCCGGGGTGTCTTGATTCTTGGGTACTTGAACCCTAAGGGTTTCCTAAATGCCATAAAGCCTAAACCCTAAACCCTAAAGCCTAAAGCCCCGAATCCCTAAACTTGAAACCCCAGAGGGCGGTCCATTTACCCAAATAGGGTCCTTTGAGGGTTGGTTTGAGGGTCCCCT